ATATGAAGTTTATATGGCATCATTTGATTGCCTCCTGACTTCCGAACGGCAACACAATGGCATTGCCATGCAATGGTAAACACTGTTATGTTAGGTAGTGAGCTATGTGGATCCTCGTGTATATACGTAACAAGTACTAATTGAAAGGGGGGGGGNNNNGGGGGGCGGGGGGTCATTGCAGAAGTCCCCCAAACCCCAGCAGTTATGATCGCAGTGCCAAGCTAGACCTACATATGACATTTTAGCAAAATCGACCAATATTTAATTTCGACCAATCAGTGGCCATGGCGTCCATGTTGGATGCACGGCTCCGAAGACAAATGAGTTATGCATATTCCCCATTACTCATGTACAGTTTCATTGGAATCCAACTAACAGTTTCTGAGAAAACACGCGGACAAAATTTTACGGCGGAAAAAGAAGAAGAAGAAGAAGAAGAAGAAGAAGAAGAAGAAGAAGAAGAAAAGAAGAAGAGGAAGAAGAAGAAGGAACGGAGTAAAACCAATAAACCAAGTCCCTTACTTCGTTTTGGGGACTTAGTTATGTAAGCTATGTGTATCTGTTTAAAATGGAAATTTTGAAATTAAAAACCATTAATTAATCGACTATAAATCTCATTACGATGTTTATACAGGATCAACTTACCACTTCCTAAGCTTAGACAAATTTTTCCTGAATGTTTTTAGGTTTTGTAAACCATTTCGAAAAATAAAAAAACTTTGGAGACATTCATTAAAAGAAATGAAGATTAAATGAGCAAAATATAACCAAAACACTGTTCTGAGTGTTGAATTTCAACACTCAGGACAGTGTTTTGGTTATATTTTATTTGATCGGGATTCGAACATCAGATTGCTATACTATTGCTCTTGTTTATCCCATACATGGTGCTGCAAGGTTTGGGGCCCTGAGGTTTCGCACAGTGTAACAATTTATCTCTCTAATCCACTGAGCTACCTGGTCAACAGAAGTGTCCTGGTATAGTTGTTTTATAGTTATGATAATAATAATAATAGTTCGAGGTTCTTCTATACCGCTTTATCACAACCTAGCTCGTAGGTCGTCTCAAAGCGTTTCACAAATTATTATCCGTGGTTAAAGGGCCTTTGCAACCAGCCAATATCTTTCTCAACTCCCTGGGGAGCATACAACCGGTGCTGCCATTTCGGCGCTCACAGCTAGCATTCTACAATTCTAGCACTAACCAACTACGTACTCATTTACAACTGAGTAGACTGGAACAAGATACAACACAGTGCCGTGACGAGAGTCGAACACGCAACCCTTCGGTCACAAGCCCGGCGTCCTACCACTAGACTATCGTGCCTCCAAACGGAAGAGAAGGGGAGGTTACGGTATTTACAAAAAGGCCAATTCAGTGGAACAGGGATCCTTAGTGAGAAAACGTTAAATAACATATTAATATCACGTTAATGAAATCATATATGTGGTAAAAATAATGGCGAATATATGTAGTTGACAAATGCAATTGTAGACATTATAAATTTGTGCTATGTTTTCGCGTTCCGATGGGTGGTTGGTTGGCGCAGTGGATATCGCACGTGCCTTTCACCAAAGTGACCGGGGTTCGATTCCCAAATAGAAATGAAAAGGTATTGGATCACCTGACCGACCGCTGTTGTTTCTCCGGGTACCCTGGTTTCCTCTCAAATTAAGACCCCCACCCCCCGCGCTTACATCCCAGCTTACAACAGTGATTAATATTAGTCAAAACAGATTGTTTCATAATTGTGGTAAAATGAATAAAGTTTATATTATTTAGTGTCATCTACAGGGAACACTGTTAAACAAGTGATGCACTGACAAAATCTTATCTTTATGGTTAATATTCTGTGTTTTCATCACAATGGTGTGATTTATTATTTCTCTTCTCTAACTTGTAGTGGTGAACCTAACGCACCGAGCCATCACCAATGGCGTTGTCTGTGACGTAATAGCGCGTGCTATCAGTGATCCAGACAGATTTATCTTTTCACAAGCAAAACTGGGAAAGTGTTTGAGGAAAGAGCTTTTTACACCTCAGAAAGGGATAGTCCACATGATATCAATTGCTATTTCTTGTATCTAGTTCGATGTGCTGGCACCTTTACGTGACATTTAACGCAAAAAGCACACGTCGATGTATGCATCCTGACATTAAAACGCAAGAGATTCACACCTCTCGCTCGTCGTCAAATGTATCGTTTTGATGTTATTTTACACACAATATCAGCTATGAAGTGTAATCTATATCTTGGAACTTGTTTTAACTATTACGGACTAAAGTTAACACATAAGCATTCATACGTTATTTTAGCTAATCAGAGGTCATAATTAATTGAGGCCCCCGCGACGGGATACTTGTAAACTACGATGAAATGAAATACCTAAGATTTTTAACTATCCGACCTCACTTTATATTACGCCTCCGTTGATTGAATGTGAAACATGTAGAATCATCGCCTGAGATTGATAAAATCATTTTAACCGTTCGGGATTCTTTGACTGGAGGAATTCCCTCGACGAACTTCGGGTTTTACCAAATTTGAAAAACCCTCGAGTGATCTTTTACCTGCTGTACTACACACGTCAACATGAAAAAGTCTTATGATATTATCTGAAATTTTAAAAATTGGCGTCACATTGAAGACTATAGAATGACGTCATGATCCTCAATTAGATGACGTCATGTATGAGCTTGTCCGCCGCCATGAAAATCTGTATAGTCATCCAATTTAAGACTTAATCATCTTGTTATTGAGATAGTTCAGTGGTGAAAAATCTCGTCCATACATGTATATGTTGAACGTTCCAACTTTCAGTCTCGTCAAAGCATATTCATGACCGCTCTAACAGAATTATACCATACACCACACAGACCACATCTTAATAGCGAACATTGTGATGCTGTACTGAATATTCTCCGAAAGTAATAAAAAAACAAAGTTGATCTGTGATTCAGAAATTTTACGTAACTTTTAAACAATGTTGGGGTGTGTTTTTTTGCGGGGGTGGGGGGGTTTGGAATGCCAGGGATGAACAGCATGCCAGGAATGAATAGCATGCCAGGGATGAACGGCATGCCAGGAATTAATGGCATGCCGGGGATGAATGGTATGCCGGGGATGAATGGAATGCAAGGATCCAATCAGGGAGGAAACAATCAAGGCAATAATCAAATGCCTGGATTCCCAAATTTCATGGGCAATCCCNGGAACTATTCATTAACAACATGTCCATGTACATAAATAAATACTTTAATTATCTATTTGGAAACCAGATTGAATCATGTTTGCAACGTAAGCGTTACGGGGTCAATGACATTAATGCAAAGATAATTTTCGTGACGTCAGAGTGTTATTGATTTAACATCTTTTCATTTTTTTATCACCAAGGAATTCAATGACATTATGTCCGGAAAAAAAATGTTGCTATTCCTGTTCCTTGTGAGAGGAAACCAAACCTTTACTCGGTTACATATATTGTGTATAATTTCACTTGTCATATAGCAGATCATGATGTTGGCGTGTCAGAGGTATATTTCCTACGATATATTTAGGTCTATTTTTTGGAAAACTAAATCCAATGTTGACTGTACAGAGTTTTACACCCTATCAATAGCCAAGGTCATTTAAGGACTATCGAAAGGAAGAAAGAACATACTGTTGAGATTGTGTAAATAGGAAGGATCCATATCAGAATTGAAAAACAATGGGGATAAATCAATGTGGTTGTTTTCAGCGACAGTATATCCAGGTAAATCTAAATGTTGTTTTTCGGTGGCATTATATCGGGGTAAATTTATATGATATTTTTCAGTGGCATTTTATCGGGGTAAATCTATATGTTGTTTTTCGGTGGCATTATATCGGGGTAAATATATGTGTTGGTTTAAAGTGGCATTAAACCGGGGTAAATCTATATGTTGGTTTAAAGTGGCATAATATCAGGGCAAATCTATATGTTGGTTTAAAGTGGGATTATATCAGGGTAAATATATATGTTGGTTTAAAGTGGCATAATATCAGGGCAAATCTATATGTTGGTTTAAAGTGGCATTATATCCGGGTTACTCGATATGTTGGTTTAAAGTGGCATAATATCAGGGCAAATCTATATGTTGGTTTAAAGTGGCATTATATCAGGGTAAATATATATGTTGTTTACAGCGTTTATATTGCTTGTAACACACTGTCAATACTTTTGCTATTTTGTCAGTAAGCAGACCCATTGAAACTTTTTGCATGGTGTTAGGCGACGAAACAGGTAAATATAACTCTGGAGGGTACCGGTTTACCACGGTAGGGCTATAGAACCATGCTGGTACTTATTTATACATCTTGGTAGATTGAAACAATAATGACATGGCAAACACATTCAATTGAAAGAAAAAAGTCTAATCCAAGTTTCTCGTGAAACCGATATCTGTGGCCGTTATAGTTAATGTAGATGTATTTCAATACAACAGCAAGGGGAAAACGTAAGGAAAAAAACCAAGCAATTAAGGAAAAAATAGTCCATATTTGAAATATATTAATATGCATACAGTGTTTACAATGAAAAGGTGCTAGTAGAGTGATATATGGACTACTGACTTATTTCCCAGATTAGGAGAAGCTATCTTTTTAAAGTTTGGCAAGATGCGCTTTGTTTACGATTTCTCATTACATCCAAATGTACTTTCTATACACAAACAAAATCTGATATATCATATCTTTTAATAATGTGAACAACTTATTCTTAAAAAAGATAAGGATTTTTCAATATTATAAAACGTATCAATAAGCGTAAACAAATTAAAGAAACCTAATTTAAAATATAAAAAATAATCTCTTCTCCCCAGACAAACTGAATTTAAGGGTTCCTTCTTTGAGGACTTTACGAGAAAGCATTCAATTTTAAGACTGAGCTTAAGGTATCATAAACATCAAAAAAAAATCATCTACCTAGTCACAGGTACGTCACTAATAAGTAACGCTGACATGTACATATTTCCTTACCTGGTGTTCCTGGATGACGATAGTGTATCCGGAATTGTTCCTGTGGATGATGATAGTTTATCCGAAAGTATTTCCTTGGATGACGAAAGATTATCCGGAAATTTCTCTACCGATGGTAGTATATCAAGAATTATGACGATAGTTTATCCGGAATTACGTCCTAGGATAATGATAGTTTATCCGGAATGATGTCCGTGGATGACAATGATTTATCCTTGGATGACGAGATTATATCGGAAATCGTGTCCTTGGTGGATGCTGGTATATCCTTAATTGTGTCCACAGATGTAAAAGTATATCAGGAATTATGACAATAGTTTATTCGGAATCATATCCCTGGAACACAAAAGTATATCCAAAATTGTATCCTACCATGACAATAATATAACTGGAATTTTGACGATAGTTTATCCGGAATTGATCCAAAGTCTGTGTGCTTATCGGATCGATTTCCAAGGATAAGTGTATCCCAGGGCTGTGTTATGAAACTATTTCCGGGAAAGATGTAAGGTTGTATAGCCCCTTTCCTGTTTCTACGACTTCCTTATGACATTGCCCGAGGAATAACTCCGTTCATGTCAAGTAATTGGACACTCATAGGAACAACAAAAAAACGATAAATAAAAAAGCTAAATAATTAATTGAAAATGTCAGCTTACACTTGCACCTTTAATTTATGAACTAATTTGAAATAGAAGTCCTTGAAACAATAACAGAAACAGATATTGAATATCCAGTGATAACAATCGTCAATGTAGGCTACCTAGTGTGAATAACACCGTTATTGATCCTATTGACCAGAGATAAACAGTTCCCTATTGGACAGATTTTCATAAAAAAAAATGATGCTGAAATGTAGCCATCCAATGAGAGGACACCGCATCAAAAATAGCCTACGTGCGCACGTGTTTCTCCTCCCTAGTCACGTCTCCTCTCGCCTCACACGTGTACCAGAATTCGATCGTAGCTTTAATGTGCATGCAACACTATGAGCGTCCCTAGCTACAGTTTAGCGACCTGCTCCCATTCTGCCGCAACAAATAGTGGCTACGTTACTCTCAGAGGTTCTTATCCACAACCCACCCATTGCACTCTTTGACGAGTGGATTTTGATTGTATGTAATCTGCCATTTAACTACGGCGTTTACATCAACCGGAGGTTACGAATATGGGGTGAAAAACAAGACGGTATCTATCGATCAGCTTTGATCTTCAATCGCCTAACCTTCCCTACATTGCGAGATGTATTGATCAGTTTTGACCTTTCATGGTGTAACATTGGCAATATGAAGAGATTAATTGGTGAACTTTGATCTTTTTTTATTCACGCAACCTTTGCTACATGAAGAGATTCATTAATCAGCTTTGACCTTTAATGATGTAACATTTGCAATTCGACGAGATTTATTGATGAACTTTGACCTTTAATGGTGTAACCCCGGCAATATCTCAAGATTTATTTATCAACTTTGACGTTTAATGATGTAACATTGGCTATGTAGCACGATTTGTAGGTGAGCTGTAACCTTTCATGATGTGATACAAAATGTGTTTATCAAATTTGACCTTTAATGGGGTATCATTGGTAGTGTAGCGAGATCCATTGATCAACCGTGTCATTACATGTAACGTAATCTAGGCAATAAGCCTAAATATATTGGATCAAATTTATGTTTCATGTTTTTAATCCGCAAACAATTGATAGGGAAAAACATTGAGAGAAGGTCGATTTCTCACGGCTTCATACAGATTATAGATGTACATATTGTAATTAACGCATGTATACTGTCTTCGGTGAGCCAACTTGCCTTTCATGTTAAGAACATAATTATAATCATAAATCACAAAATGATCCCAGATGAAAAAATTCAACAGGTTCGAGACAATTATTATCACGTGCTTTGCGTTAAAACATTACTCGTTTGTCTAGGATGTTTGGTTATTTGCGTAAAGTTGGTCTATAACATAAGATATGAACATTTTAAAAATACTTCTAAAATCATTGACCATTCTGTCGGCTGTACGCTTTTTATTCATTTAAAATTTTATATTGGGCGCTGTTAGTGTCCCTATATTGTTGTTGTCTCGACTTGTACGACTTTACTGTTGCTAGACCAACAACGATAGAAACGACCGGTAAGATACAGACGTCTGCTCATCAAGTTTGACCTTTCGCAATATGACTCCAGCAACATACGTTGTCTGTTGATTAACCTTGACCTTTCACAATATCAACATGGTAACCGATATCTGTTGATAAAAGTGAATATTTCCAACTATCCTGATTAAAATAATTATAATAATTATCACAACCTAGTTCGTAGGTCGTCTCAAAGCGGTTCACAAATTAGTATCCGTAGTTATAGGGCCGTTGCAACCAGTCAATATCTTTCTCAACTCCATGGGGAGCATACAGCCGGTGCTGCCATTTCGGCGCTCACAGCTAGCATTCTATAATTCTAGCAATGCCCAATCACGTACTCATTTACAGCTGAGTAGACCGGAACAAGCGGAGTAAAGTAGCTTGCTCAAAAGTACAACGCAGTGCCGCGACTCGAACCCGCAACCCTTAGGTCACGAGCCCGGCGTCCTACCACTAGACCACCGTGCCTCGTAAAACATTGCATTATAATTCACATTTCTTTAAAGAACATTGCCAGCGGACATTTTTCCTCCATAACGTTACCCAGACAACGTAGCGCACATGTCTGCTGGGTTTTTTTTTTTTTTTATCATTTTTGCTATGTTTTTCCAGATTTAAAAAAAAAATGTAGATTTGTTTAAACATTGTCTGTTACCTAATATTAAATGGAAACATAGCTAACACATACGACAAAATACGTAAAAGGCCACTAAAAGTCAATATCATAAGCAAATACTAGATCTACATGTATGTTATAAAGACAAATTTTGAACGATGAAGCTATGAACAGCATTACCTACGTTTGATGAATTTTCAGTAAAACAAGCACTTGGACGATAAATATTTTGTGTCGATAAGTCATTAACAAATCAAAGTTTATTAGCCTTCAACTTACCGCGGTTGGTATTTCTGTAATAGTTCCTCCTCTACCAAGGGTCTGTAAAACGTTTGTAACGTATTAACTGTCCATGCGTGGATAACAGTTCCTTTGTGCGAGTTGCATGTTCAGCTCCATTCGATTCAATGCGGTCTCATAGACGCTTTATAACGTGATCTATTGCATCACCAGTCAGAGATAATGAGAGACATTGAATTATTGCACGTGTCTTCAACACCATTATGGAGGATCAGGCCTACAGCCATGTGCTTACACGAGCAACCGACCCGGCCAACAGTTGAGCGTGTTCATAACAGGGTGTAGCTAGCCCTTGTTCGGAGAGCCGGATTAATTTAGGAGCGGGTTTAGGGCAGGGTCGTGGTAGGGGGACAAGAGGGTGCAACAAGCAGTGTTTTTTATTTTGTTTTATTTTCTGTTTGAAAATCTGCTGGATTCACCTTGGGAATGACTAGGGACCCGGACTACATGAACATAGACTACTCTTAAATGTTTTACACATATTTTACTCGAGTTGGGATATGATCAACTGTTTTCATGTTTACACGAGTGGGGACATGGTCTTAAGTCGGATACTTTACACGAGTAGGCACGCGACAAACAGTAACGTGTTTTACACGACTAGGGACATGAGAGACAGTAGCATGTTTTACAAGACTAGGGACATGAGAGAAGCATGTTTTACACGAGTAGGGACATGCCAGACAGTAACATGTTTTACAAGACTAGGGACATGAGAGAAGCATGTTGTACACGACTGGGGACATGAGAGACAGTAGCATGTTTTACAAGACTAGATACTTGAGAAACAGTAGCACGTTTTGCAAGACTAGGGACATGAGAGACAGTAGCATGTTTTGCAAGACTAGGGACATGATAGACAGTAGCATGTTTTGAAAGACTAGGGACATGAGAGACAGTGGCATGTTTTACCCGACTAGGAACATGACAGACAGTAGCACGTTTTACACGACTAGGAACTTGAGTGACAGTGGCATGTTTTACACGACTAGGGACATGCGAGACAGTAGCATGTGTTGCAAGACTAGGAACATGAGAGACAGTAGCATGTTTTACACGGCTAGGGACATGAGAGACAGTAGCATGTTTTACACGACTAGGGACATGCCAGACAGTAACACGTTTTACACGACTAGGGACATGAGATAAGCATGTTTTACACGACTAGGGACATGAGACACAGTGGCATGTTTTACACGAGTAGGGACATGCCAGACAGTAGCATGTTTTACAAGACTAGGGACATGAGAGAAGCATTTTAACACGACTAGGGACTTGAGAGACAGTAGCATGTTTTACACGACTAGGGACTTGAGAGACAGTAGCATGTTTTACACGACAAGGGACTTGAGAGACAGTAGCATGTTTTACACGACTAGGGACATGAGAAACAGTAGCATATTTACACGACTAGGGACATGAGAGACAGTAGCATGTTTTACACGAGTAGAAACATGAAAGACAGTAGCAATTTTTACAAGACTAGGGACATGAGAGACAGCAGCACGTTTTACACGACTAGGGACATGAGAGACAGTAGCACCTTTTACACGACTAGGGACATGAGAGACAGTAGCATGTTTTACACGGCTAGGGACATGAGAGCCAGTAGCATGTTTTACACGACTAGGGACATGAGAAACAGTAGCATATTTTACACGACTAAGGACATGACAGACAGTAGCAATTTTTACAAGACTAGGGACATGAGAGACAGAAGCATGTTTTACACGACTAGGGACATGAGAGACAGTAGCATGTTTTACACGACTAGAAACATGACAGACAGTAGCAATTTTTACAAGACTAGGGACATGAGAGACAGAAGCATGTTTTACACGACTAGGGACATGAGAGCCAATAGCATATTTTACACGAGTAGAGACAAAATCTACAATCTGTGGGTTTACACGAATAAGAACATCGTCTTCAGTCGGGTATTTATATGCGAAAATGCTTTGTCATATTTGTGCTTTTAACATTTAAATCTTGTTACTGATGTATCTGTAGTCATCGATGATACGCACACTTTTGTTATAGTGACGTTATAATGAAAACAAAAACTTTAATATACGTCTTGCAGGGTAATGGTAAAACGCAGACATCATGCTGCTTCATCCTCATGCAATGGGCAACACTACCTACCGATTGTCCACACAGTGGTAACCCGCGCGTGCGTGCCGACGCGACTTCAAGGCAACAATATACGATAGACACTTAAGCAAATTTGTTTTTGGACGACCAGGACAACTGCATGAACCATTGTTGGTCCTAATTGTATTTGTGTCAACCAACTTTCCAACAGTTTGAAGCAAATTTCGCCAAAGGGGAATGTTGACCTGAGGGCCATTATTAGGATCACGTTTACCTCAACAAATAGGGTTTGCAGTCATTTTAGCGACCAGTAGCATCAAGCCATCAAATAATCCGCTTCACCATCAACCCCCACCCTATCCCGACACGACCTGCCTTAAATCCCAATTTATTCTCTTTGCCGAATTGTGAAAACGTCGTTACATGCAGAATAACGTGTTCAAATGGCGGTGGAATCAGTAAAACTATTTGCAATATACCTTCTCTTCAGTTCATTGCACAATAGTATGTAGGATGCCAACAATTTACGAGAGTGGATCATTAGGTATTGATAACCAACGATTTACGAGGGCG